AGTTAAAGATAATTTAGGTGCAGCCAAATACAGCCAAAAAAAAAAAAATATAGCAAAAAAAAGAGAGAAGAGGATGGGAACTCTCAAGGCAAAAGATTCATGAGCAGTGAGGAGAGCTGTGTGAGGCGATGTATCTTCCACACATGCTTGAACAGAGGTGGGGTGGAAAAGGAAGCATTCGTTGATTGAGTTCACACATTTGGCTTAGTAATAGGTTGTTTCCATCCCAGAAAACGCCTGTCTGCGCAGTCACTAAGGACCAAAGCTGAAACGTGCTGGCATAAAAAAAATAAAATCAATCCTGATCAACTGGGTTGTTTGGGGGCCAAGCCACCGTCTGTTTGTTAAGCCCTGATTTATTTACTGTGGTGTGTCTCCACCATAAACCATGGTATGCAGAACGTTACATAGCCACGTGTGTGAAACCAGCCACCCCTTGCCTTGGTTTTAACGGCCGGTTGCAATCCTACACGGCTTCTAGAAGATTTCCGTTGAGTGAGAGTTTCTTTTGGCAGCCATTGGAATGCATCAAAAGTGGACCTTCAGTCCTTTCTTCTTTCATCTCTTTTTTCCTTCTCTTTATGTTTTTTCATCTACTTTCATTCATGCACTTTTTAAAGTACAATAGAAAATCAACCAATCAATTAATCCATCCATCTATTTCTTTCTATCTATCTATCATCTATCTATCTATCTATCTATCTATCTATCTATCTATCTATCTATCTATCTATCTATCATCTATCTCTATCTATCCTTCTATCCATCCATCTATCCTTCTATCTATCCTTCTATCCATCTATCCATCCATCCATCTATCTTTCCATCCATCCATCTATCCATCCATCCATCTATCTTTCCATCCATCCATCCATCTATCCATCCATCCATCCACCTATCCATCTATCTATCTATCCATCCATCCATCTATCTCCATCCATCCATTTGGAGCCTAACGTTTTTTCCATCTCTTCTGCGGTTACATTTTCTTTCTTGTGCTTTTAAGCAATGGTTTTTTTTTTCTTTTTTTTCTTTCTTACATTTGTTTGTATTAGTTCTTTTTCCTTTGGAAAGGAAAAAGTTCCTTTAAAAAGTTTTAAAATTATTAAAGAGAGAGAGGGAGGGGGGGAGGGAGGAAGCGCGAGAGACAGAGAGACAGAGGCACACAGAAAGAGAGAGAGAGATAGACAGAGGTTGAGAGACAGAGACACACAGAAAGAGAGAGAGAGGTTGAGAGAAAGAGAGACACACAGAAAGAGAGAGAGAGAGAGGTTGAGAGAGAGACAGAGGCACACAGAAAGAGAGAGAGAGACAGAGAGGTTGAGAGAGACAGAGACACACAGAAAGAGAGAGACAGGTTGAGAGAGAGACAGAGGCACACAGAAAGAGAGAGAGAGAGACAGAGAGGTTGAGAGACAGAGACACACAGAAAGAGAGAGAGAGAGGTTGAGAGAAAGAGAGACAGAGACACACAGAAAGAGAGAGAGAGACAGGTTGAGAGAGAGACAGAGGCACACAGAAAGAGAGAGAGGTTGAGAGAAAGAGAGAGAGAGAGAGACAGACAGACACACATACACAGAGAGAGAGACAGGTTGAGAGAGAGACAGAGACACACAGAAAGAGAGAGAGAGACAAAGAGAGAGAACCTGAGAGACAGAGACACATAGAAAGAGAGAGAGAGAGAGACATATTGAGAGAGAGAGACAAAGAGAGAGAAACTGAGAGACAGAGAGATTGAGAGAGACATAGAGAGAGAAAGGAAGGAAGGAGAGAGAGAAACAAAGAGGGGGAGAGGGAGAGAGAGAGAGAAGGGTTAATGGGAAAGAGGCTGCTGTTAACTGATCAGTTTCACAGATGGCCTTGTGTTTTTGGTTGGTTTCACTGCAGCCATCAATTTGATGGCTGACTTGAGAGCTGCCGGAGGCCTCTTGCCCCGCAGAAGCCCCAGGCTCATTAAAGACTCTGGCCACATGCGTTCAGAATCTACTCCCTGCTTCCTCCTCCCTCCCCCTCCACTCTCTTTTCCTTCCCTTCCCTTTCTTTCATTCCTTTCTTCCTCCCTCCCCGCATCTCCTTTCCTCATTTCTCTGTCCTTCCTTCCCTCCTTCCTCCTTTTCTCCTCTTCCTCTTTTTCTTCTCCATTCTGAAAGGAAGTCCGAATAACGCTAACGCTATATATACACATACATACATACATACATACATACATACATACATATATATATATATATATATATATATATATATATATATATATATTTGTTTTCTGAGGTTCTCGCGGGTATTTATATGTGGATCTTTGGTTGTTCGGGTTTTCTCCCGCGTAAGATTCAAAGTATCTAGGCAACGTTTCGATGACGTTTCGCAGTTAAAAGGAGGAAGCAGCTGCAATCTCACATTACTCTGAGAAGCACAGAGCCGGAGACAGAAGCCTGAAGATGATGAATGAGACTTCATCGAAACGTTGCCTAGATACTTCGAATCTTACGCGGGAGGAAACCCGAACAACCAAAGATCCACATATATATATATATATATATCTACTTCTCCTTCTCCCTTACGGGAAAAAAAGTAATAAAACGTCTTTCCATCCATCCATCTATCCATCCATCCACCTATCCACCTATCTTCGCCTTCTAATAGATCAGTTTGGTTTTAATACAAAGAGGAAATCCCCTCTTTCGGTTTGGCAACATGTGTAAACCAGGTCATTCCAGCTTTTTTTCTTTTTCTTTTTGAAAGTGGATAAAACAAACTCCTTGTGTCTCCGTGTTATGAACAAAAACAACTTGCGAGCAGCCCAGGGCAACCACAGACTTAAGAGAGGCCCCTTCTGAAAAAGAATGCTGGATTCAGGAAAAGGCAGGTGAGCCTTTTTTAAAAAAAATAACCATTTCTGAACGCGCCAGTTGAGTCTCTGCCCCGATTTGTTTGGAGAAAGAACCAAATAAAATAAAATAAAATAAAATAAAAGCAGCTTGATAGAAGAAACCCAGTCCATATTTACCTTGGGTTGAAAAGCTCCTTGGAGGGACCCGAAAGGGCCTGGGTGGGGGAGCATGGAAGGAATCCCTGGCACATTGGGGGGGTAACTTGGAAAGAACTGAGGAGAGGGGAAAAAAAAAAAGAGAGAGAGAAGGTGCATTAGATCGTAAAACAAGGCTACACAGGTGATGGTGAAACTTTTCATTTTTTCCGGAAGTGGTAACGAAGCCGGCACCAAAACAGCAAGATTCCGAAGGCACCTTTTTTTTCTCGTAACCTCCTTAAGAGTCCAAATAAAAATAAAACAATGTCTACAACAAGATGCTCTTCTTTTAAATGTGGACCAGAACCTCTCTCTCTCTCTCTCTCTCAGCCCAACGGAGCTCACGGGATTGATGTTTCGGGAAAAAGAGGAGGAGGAGGAGGAGGAGGAAGGAGAATTATATATATTTGTTGCCTTGAGTTACTTACAAAGTAACGAGGTCAGGATAACATAATATAGCCAGATTTAAGATCAGGGAGCCAGCTCTGAAGGAATAGAGTTAGGCAATCTCCTCCCTTCCTCTCCCTCCTCCCTTTTCTCTCCCTCCTTCCTCCCTTTTCCTCCTCCCTCCTTCCTTCCCTCTCCCTTTCTTCCTTTTTTCTCCCTCCCTCTCCCTTCCTTCGCCCTTCCCTCCTTCTCCCCCTACCTCCCCCCCTTCCTCCCTTTTCACTCCCTCCTTCTTTCATTCCCTCCTTCCTTCATTCCCTCTCCCCCTCTGTCCCTTCTTCCCAATTTCTACTGAAGCAGCAGTTCTGCGCCAGCGATGCTCTTTTGACATAAGCCAAGATGACTTCACTCGGCCACTTTTCCCTCGGGGTTGGCCTTCACAAGCCTCCTGCAGATCACGCCTCCTCCTAATCTTCATCCACCCTCCCGATTCAGAGGGGCCAGCCAAGAAGACCAAAATTTTACCTAAACCACATCTTGGTTTCCTTCAGCGCTGCATGTTGGTGCAGCCAGCCGAGAAACCGACTGACCGAAAACAAGGAAGGCAGGAGGTTCTGTCTATACTTCCCTTTCCTGATGGCCACGAGGTTAAAAGATGTCTGTTTTTGAGAACGCCTGGCCATCTTTCTCTGCAAGCTAGAATGGTCTAAGGTCTCCCGCTTCTGCAGGGGGTTGGACTAGAAGGCCTCCGAGGTTCCCTTCCAACTTTGGCATTCTGCAATTCTGTTAAGTCAGCTTCTCTCATACGGTTGTAAAAAAAAAAAAAGGAATATCCTTGAGATAAGCCGTTGGAGATGACAATTGTGCAGTTTTATTGGCAGTGACACTGATGTGTTTCGATGCTGCCTTCTTTGCAATGTCTTTTTTCTCTTCACCCTCCAAGGTTACTCGACAGCCATGGGCTTCCCTGCAGAGATAGTCTCTCATCCAAGGTGTTCTGACCTCGGCTTCCCCCAAAAGCACTAAACCCGACACTTTGTCCCGGCAAAATCCCTTTTTATTAAACGGAGGTGAATTTCTTGCATTCACCTTCAGCCAAAGGCCCGGCAAACAGTCTTTCAAGGGTCTAATGAGGAGCACAGACCTCATCTAGCCTGGAGAGCTGCCAAGGAAATATTTCCAAACGCAGTGCTGACAAGGAAGGGCTCAGCACAGATCTTCACACTGCTGCAACAAACAAATTATTTCCTGCAAAAGCCCCCTCCCTTTTTTCTCCTCTTTTAATCCCTACGGGAGGGGTCATTCACTGTCTACCTGTGGCCTTACTCCCACATCGACCCTTTGTTCATATTTGTTCTTTTCTTTTGGCAGCTCTGCGCATGTGTAGGCTGGGAACCGGCTCCAGCTACTCCCTTGCCTCACTGCCGTCCAATTCCGAAGGCAGCTGATGACTGCCAGCCTGCCCTGGCCCCATCTCTGCCTCTGACGCAGAGCCTTCATCCGAGCCGTCCTCAGCCTCCAGGACCGGCTCGGGTTCCACCACAATCTCTTCACTGTCTGACTCTGCTACCAGCTCTGCTAGCCGCTGGTAGGCCACAACACAAGGATGATCTGTAGCCAATTCCAGAAACATCCAAGGTTTGTCCATCTACCAAAGCCCATCCCAAGTAAAGTAACATAAATAAAAATAATGTCAGAGCTGTAATAATCAGCCCTGTTTGGCCAACCAATGTCCTTGAGATTATTACTATTATTATTATTATTATTATTATTATTATTATTATTATCAACAACAACAAAAATAATAATCATTGAAGATTAGACCAATTACCAGAAGGAAAATATACTTCTCACCAAAAATAAAAAAATGAAAATTTGGGATAAAATGCCCTTCTGAAGGCTTGCAATGATAGATGGAAAGGCCCTCTTGTACTCACCAAGTTAATTAACCTTAAAATATAGATAATTCTTCAAAAACATGTCTAAAATCCTTAGGGCAGAGGGGCTCACCACAAAGAACCAGTAATCTGAGACTGGTTATCAAATTCTGATTATTATCTTTTTCCCCCAAGTCGTGGAAGGGAACAATGATTAAATGCGCAACTCAAGAGTGTAATTGCATTAAGTCGATTTCATTTTAACAGAAAGTAGACATAAATGTAGATTTATGTTGGTCTCCCTTGTTCCTTTTATGGGCTGTCTTGTCTTTCTGTGTGTCACGGCAAGGCCAAGGGGGAATTTCGGCATGAATTGTGCATGATCGGTTTTCAAGCTTTCGAAGTCTAACCGGTTCCTCAGAAGTAGGTTTTGGAAATCAGCAGCTCCCATAAACTGGGATATAACACTGAGATTTGTCCCAAATATATATTTTTTTTCCAAAAGGAACTGGACTTTCTTAAGTGCTTTCTTCCCGAAACATTTGACTTCTCATCCCAAAAAAACTTCTGAATTTTGGGAAATGCACCATTGTGCCTTTCAGTTAGAACTAAAAAGCTTCATAAAACTTTTCAGTAACTCACAAGAGGGAATGCTGCTTTAAAAAAAATGCAGAACGGAAGAAAAATCTGGAGATCACTTATGAAAAAAATGACATTTGTCCACTTTTATTTATGAATAAACTCTACTATAGAGGCTCAAATTTGGTAAGCGTCCTGCAAATTTTGTACCATTCCCCTCCCCCGCTCCGCTTCATTTTTCTAACACATTGTTCTCACCTTGGTCAACTATCTTTCTGCTTTATATAAACCTGCCTTTGGCTTGCAAGTCACTTAATCCCAAATATATAGGGCCCTGAATAACAATTTGATAGCCATTCAATTGATATGGTCATAAGCTTGCCTTCCGGACTCTGTACGGAAAATCAGATGCCATGTCACAGGATATTAACCTTTCCTGATTTGCTATTTTTTTGGGGGGGGGTGGGGAGATTTCTGGACAAATCCCAATTTGAAGTTTGGAGTGCTAGAAAGAGAGAGTGATTGAGGATCTGGATGAACAAAACATCTCCAGGGGAAAAAAAATGAAACACATCCCAGATTAGATATGAAACGGAACCTCTCTGATCAGAGGAAAGGCAGAATGAACGGAGAAGTCCAAGAGAAGGAAAGAAGTTTGACAATGGCTGTTTTGATCAAGGGGGAAAAAAAAATACAGATACTTATATTTCTCCCTGAAAAATGCTTCAGGACTTTGGGCTTGAGGTGAACAAAAAAAAAAAAGGAACTTTGATTTTGGGTTTTACCGATCTGATAGATTTGTTGTCATAGAAATGGCTAGCTTATATTATTGTGTGAAAGTAAAAAGTTGAGGTTGGATGTTAATGCCTTATTCTACTGCACCAAAGGGAGTTGGAAATCAATGCCTTTGTTTTCATTTCCCCTTTTTCTTTCCCTCACTTTTCCTTTCCCCTTCCCTATTTTTGTTCTGACCTATACCCTTTTCCGGCAAATCAAACACAATCCAAATAGAACAGAAACCTTGTAATGCTTTTACAAAATAATTAGCTGTGATAAGCACAAGCCTTGCCAAACTGTGCCAGACTTGCCAAAAGATAACAAACAAGAAATAATTTGCAAAATAAGAATCTTCAAATACAAACTCAGGAAACTAGAATATCCACGAGGCTGGAGTTTCAAAACGTCTTTGCCTTCTGCAAAGAAGGTTAGTTTCACAGCTGGCTTTTATTTTCTTGAAGGAGGGGCCATTATCTTACAGCCTTACTCCTGGGTCGCCTGTACTGTTGCAGTTGCTTTTTCCAAGCGAGCAATCCTGTGCTCGCGCAGACTTGGCACAGGCTCCTCGGGAACCTCCTCATTGCTGCTGCCAGCCCCCACAACCTCTGAAGGCAGCAGTCCACTCCCTGATGGTCCTGGCCCCTCATCTGAGTCCTCGCTCTCCTCAGCCGTCCACACCTGCTGCCGGCTAACCACAACAATTTTCCCTACGATTTACTCTCTTCTTTTCTTTGTATGCTTCTTTTCTGTGTATGCTATATTATAAACTAATAAAAAAACTATTGACACAGACAATTGTAAAAACTCTCCAAGAATGAAAATAGCCGTTTTTAAAAATTGTTCTTTTCTTAATCCTAAATAAAACCCACGCAGGTGAAGCTGCATTGAAAACAGGTAAGGAAAACATCAAGCACAGAACAAACTCTAACACGTTTTAAGGATATTAAGAATAAAAGGCACTTACGTTGGAATGTCGAAAGTAAGGATTCTCAAGTTTAGGTGCGTACTTGTCGAACTGGAGAGAAAAAAAAAACAGAAAGTCGAAGAAAAATTGGTTGGTTTGGTACAAGCCTTGGAAGGCAACTGAAGTATCACCCAAACCTACAGTATGGAGGAGGATGGTTTGGGGGGTAGTTCGTAGACACGGTGGCGGTGGGTTGCTATTACAGGATGTTCTCCAGTTACGACCACAATGGAGCTCGAAATGTATGTTGCTAAGTGAAACGTTTGTTAAGTGAGTTTTGCCCTGTTATACGGTCCTTAAGTGAACTGCTGCCATTCGGTTAAGTTAGGAACCCGGTCGTTAAGTGAGTCCCCATGGACTCTGCTTGTCAGAAGGACGCAAAAGCGGATCAGGTGACTTTGGGGACATTGCAACCGTCATAAATATGAAACAGTTGCCAATCTTGATCCCGTGACCATGGGGAGCCTGTAAGCGTGAAGAACGGCCCTAGGTCACTTTTTTTCAGGGCCGTTGTGACGATGGACCGTCACTAAATGAGTTGGTTTTCACTTTGCATTTTAAACATTTTAGCAAAGTACACGACTTCCTTCCTGATCTAGAAAATCAGTCTGTGTGTGTGTGTGTGTGCTTGCTGGGGGTCTTTGAGACAGGCAGTTGAGGGTCTTGACAGGCAGTGAGTCAACAGCCACAGTCATCAGCCTTAGAAGCCAATTTTTTTTTACTTAGAAGCATCGAGGCTGCTACATTCAGTGCCTGGAAATATGGGAGGGGGGATTTCATAGTGGGGGGGTTCAAATAATTTAACAATCAGTTCTGTGTCCTAATTATTTCTCCCAACAACCAGTTCACCAAACTGCTCTGAAAATTAACAACCGGTTGTCCTGAACTGGTGCGAACTGGTTGAATCCCACCGAGTAGAAGATTAGAGACAACAACATTCTTTCTCCGAGAGTCAAGGACATGTTGCTCTACACCTGGAGGAGAGTGACTGGAGGGATGTCTCCAACCGGGATGAAGATTTGGTTGGGCCATGTGATGGACTGATGGGCGCAGCTAAGCCAGACCATTGTTAAGTGAGTTTTTGCCCTATTTGATGGCCTTTCCTTGCCCCCACCCGTTGCTAAGTGACTCCTGGTCATTTAGTTAGGGACAGGGTTGTTCAGTGAATCTGGCTTGTTTGTTGGAAAGTCGCAAAAAAAAAAAAAAACACCTGACCCCGGGAAGCCTCCACTGTCACAAACATGAAGCAGTGGCCAAGCACCTGACTGTTGACCACGTGGCCACAGGGGATGGCACAATGGGGATGGCCTAACAAAGGAGGCAGCAAAAGTCAGAGGTTTTGTGCCGTGGTGGATCCTCGACCCTCTTTAGTTTTATTCTGCGATTTGATCTCCTCTCTCCATGCTCGGTTTGACCCGTACACCCTCCTCCCCTTATTAGTATTCTGATCACGTCCCCAAGAACAATTAAACCCTCAAGCAGGCAGAAGAGGTCCTTACCACGGGAAGAAAGGGGTCTCCCTAAAATGCCCTCCCTCTCCCCCCCCACCCCCCAGCCAAATTGTCATGCTCCCTTGTGCATCCTCCACCGTGCTGGAGCGCAGATTTTGCAATTGGGTTAATTACAGTGATTATCGGAGTCATGTACCCTCCAGTGTAAATAGCCAGAAATTACTAAAACACATGCAGCTGGCGAGTCCCTCCTCCCCGTTCCAGTGTTCGGATTAATAAACCTGCCGAGTGGAAGATCGGGGAAAACGGGAGATCGGGCGTCACAAGGAAAGAGGGGGCACAACTGTGTGTGTGTGTGTGTGTGTGTTTAATGCTCTTCGCCCCACATCTGTGGGGCGTGGGTGGCGCAAAGGGATCAGGTGACCAAGTTCTTAAAAATCTCATGCCGAGCTTGTTTGTGCTTCTCTCGGGAGGAAGAAAGACAAAAACAGGGGGGCCTCGGGCAGCGTTTAAACACCTGAAGGTGCTCCGAGGGTGGATGAAACTGTTCTTTGTTCTTTGGGTTTAAGCGGATTAGTGCCGCCAAACGGATGACAAGGCGGGAGAAGAAAAGGATAAAGTGTCATTTCCCACGGGTTGGCTCTCCCCCAAATGAAGGGAGGCCGGGGAAAATAATAATAATAATAATAATAATAATAATAATAATAATAATAATAATAATAATAATAATAATA